AAGACGTTTGATAGAATATTGAAAATATATACCTGAAGTATTATGTAAAAAGAATCAATGAAAATTCAAGAACTTGTTGTAAGACCTGGAGGTCCTTAGTCCGATTTCCCGTGAAGTCATGCAGATGGACAGCTGAAGAGTCTCACACAAAGATAAAATAGCTATCCACTGCTTCATGATTCTCAGTAGTTATCTAACTAAGACCAGTGTTTGATGTAAGCTATGAAATTAAATAGCTCTCTCAACTTCTACTCATCAAAAATTTCGAGTATATACAGGTTTCCTAAAGAAAATTTATTGAAACTGAATAACTAAATTAATATTTTCATATTTTGGTATAAATAAATTATTTACTGGCATACAAATCTATTTATCTAACCATACTTTAATGAATTTAATATTACAAATGTACAAAAACTAGTCATTGATGAACCTCCCGTTTTTTTCTTCTTCTTTAAATCAGTGACAACAATGACAACAACAAACAGAAATATAGTTTTCAAAAGTTAAAATCAACAGATCTCATTGACATTTGATGTTTAGGATGCATGACACAGTTTAAGGTATTTCCTACACATACATATATGTACATACACACACACACACTTGGACGCATAACGAAGAAAGAAACAATATCAAAGACTAAAGATTTTCTTCTTATTCAAAAGAATTTTTGTTTATTTCCATCTCTCTAACCCCACTCACCGAAATTTACGACAATATCCATAAGAATAGACAAGTATTATTTATTTATTTACAACTTTAGATAGTGATCATTAAAAAAGAAATAAGGTATATTTATTATTTACTGTTATTAGATATAAAGAGATGATGATTGAGACTGACGTTCAGAGTTTATTTTGATACAACCAAAAAGAATTCTGTCCAAATTCAATTATCAAAATCATTAGTTTATCAATGAGAAATACCTTACGGAAACAAACAATTTGATGTACACAGTGACTGGTTGGAATCCAGAGGATTACAGAGTAATATAAATACTTTAACATAATCATAATGGTATTACACGTATGTATGTGGAGAGTTATGATTAAATGCAAAGTGTGTTTAACAGATGTAACAGATGAATATTATAGATCAAGTTATTTTGCTTATTTAATTAGGCTGAAGTTATCTATTTATTTGTGTACTTGTGCCAATCGTGACGATGGATGATGATCGTACAATATCATGAATTGACTTAAATAATCTGAAGACCCAGTGTCCATCGTGAGGTACGAAGGTATTTGGATTAATTCGCTAGTTGGGTAATGCATGTTTATTATGTCTAATACTACGGTCAAACAGTTATGTAGAGTACACTGGTATTCAATGGTTGTCCAACTCGATTTAGTCCATTATGTGAAACTTTAAATTCAACAATCTACGCAACACCTTGTAATAGCAATAATCCAACAGGCGATTCAACATACAAGACAGGGGTGTACGAACGATTAGTGCATAAGTCATTCTGAATAAAAACCATGGAGCTTTATCAACGGAAAAAAATCCATTTTTGAATTTATCAGTACAAATGTTTCAATGAAGTAAGTTATATTGGTCAGTGTTCTAAGAATTTAGATTCTTACTTCAGTCACAATCGTAAATGGTTCGATCGCAGTTAATACAGTTCAAACAGATAATAAAACAAGCGATAACCGTTGATTTTTAATAACCTTTACTGTTAAAAGTTACACGTCACAATAGGTGATCTAATCTCGAAATTTCTCAAACGATGGAAGCAATAATTGTTCAAGTAAAAAAAAGAAACGCCCTGAGTTCTGAATTCCATAAAAAACCGGTTTAACCTCTTCTACTACTTTGACCAGCTTCAGAACTAATCAGTGGACAATTTTACTCAACAAAAAGTGCGACCTGATACATCCAATAGATATATATCACAATTCCCCCATAATATTTACATCTTGGATGTATCTGGTTAATTTTCTGGTTTACCCTACCCTATATTAAATATCAGATGAATAATTCACTTCCATCTACCATTAATTTAACCTTTTTTCTCTAATATTCCTTATCTAATTCATATCATTCATTTTAATAGCATAATTTCTTATCGAATATTTGATATGATTATTATTCGAAACTTTGATGAAATTGTATTGTCTGAGTTTAGAAAGCCAAAAATCATCTACTCGTAGCATTGTCCGCCACCTATCATCTCAAAAAATATATTCGTTTTATTCTACTTCGATCATAATTATTCCGATTATTAATTTCACAATCTTGCTGAACTACATAGGCAATCTAATTTTACTTAAAATTCCAAAATGCATATGTTGTACATACTTTATTATTAAAAAAAAAGAAACTGCCTGAAGCTCTTTATTTTCTCGTCTTAATCGTCATTATTTTGAATAATGAGAATTTATTTGAAAAAGTTTTATTGTTCGCTTATAAATGATGTTTTTAACAGCAAATGGCACTACTAATTAAGCATAGTTTTAGGCACTTAACTGCTGGTAATCTAACCATAGAGACTACGTCCCCAAATGCCCTGGTACGGTTGAGGGTGGGGGAGAGTCTGCTCTCCCTCTCGAGACGCTCTCATATGATCACGTGTATACAGCCAGTACCAGGGAAGTCCTACTCACTGTCTTCTCGAAGTGGTGTTGTTTACGAAATTGAGAGGACGAAAAGCGAATGCCTGTCGCTTTAACCGGATTAGTGGATACGGAGAGTCCACCTAGAAGAGTCGGAAAACCCTGATACCAAACCAATGGTGCACATGGTCTCCAGCATCCTGAGGGAACAAATGGCGCATCAACCAATAGTTAATCACCGGCTACCATGGTACTACATTTCCTGACGTTGCTCCACTGTCTTGTGGGTGTGGCTTCCTAATAAAACCACTTACTTTGGTCTGGGCGACCGGGCAGTACCACAGCCCACACACAAATCAATTGACCTGTGTATTTATTTATTTATTTCAACACATAGATATTGGTACAAAGAGGCACCAAATACATATGCGCCACACAAATCTCATTCGATATGTGTGAGGGCTGTGATACTGCCCGGGTGCCCAAACCGAAGCAGGTGGTTTGCTTAAGGGGCCATATCCAAAGTCTTCGACCTGAAGGTCTGATCCACAAGGCAGTGGAGCATCGTAAGGAGATGCAGTCCCATGGAAGCCGGTGACCAACAATTGGTTCATACGCCATTTGTCCCCGCGGGATACTGGAGCCCATGTGCACCATTGGTTTGGAATCCGGTTAAAGCGCCGGACATTCGCTTTTCGTCCTCGCATTTTCGTAAACAACACTCTCTCCACGAGAAGGCATTGAGTAGGACTTCCCTGGCAGAGGCTATATACGTGTGGCCATGTGAGAGCATTTCGAGAAGGAGAGCGGACTTTCCCCACTCTCGACCGTACCAGGGCATTGACCTGTGTGGCGTATATGTATTCGTTGCCCCTTTGTATCAATATTTGTGTTCAAATAAATAAATATAGAGACTACAACACCTCGAACATTCTCATCCAGAACTACAAAAATTCTTTATCATGTGATACGGACTTGGTTTTTTAAAAAAGGAATACACCTGTAGAATTGAAAAAAAAACTGATATTCGTCAATTATTTCATGCGTTTTATTTTTTTTCAGTAAAAAAAAACGTTTCCCATTATAAGAGAAAAATAATATGCTTAAAGTCAATTGAAGTGTCTACTACTGACAATAATTTTTGAAATATTTCATGATAGAATAGTCAGTGGGATAGGAAAATATTGACAATATTTAATTTAGTGAGAAAAATTCTACATTTTTAGTTGGTAGAATTCAATCAATGTTAAGGCCCAGACAGCATATTTGTGCACACTTTGTGGATTGCCTTGATATACCTAGTTTGTTGCAAGTTTTTTAATGAATAGACCATTTTCGACCAGAAGATTGGAAGCCACGATACAAATCTCATTGTATTTAGGAATTATCAGCTGGATGCACTTACATCTTAAACCCAATTAATAATGAATAATAAACATTATACTGATTGAATAATTGAATCGCTATCTAGAGTGGGTAGATCAATGGATAAGGAGTTAGTGATCGAAACAAAAGATGACTGATTGGGTTGAAGTCCTAATGTGAACGTTGATAATGAAATATAGGCATATTCAATTGATGAGTCCTGAAAAGAAAGTATAGCATATTCTGGTCTCTACTGCTCTAACCACAATACCTAACTTTATGATATGCGGTAGTGAAAGTAAACTACGGATTGGTCACTGAGCGTAGACAAACAGGTACTTAGTCTACCAACTATTATATGTGATTTCCTTTCCTCATTAATTTCTATCACGGACTCACTGAATATGACTTCTTGCAGCGGTATTGAATAAAGTATCATCTAGTGTTAACCTGGTTCTCTATTCTAGGTTGTGAATGCTAGATCTGACTAGTCTCATTATCGTAGTAACGTATTAGTGTAGAGAAAAATATTTTAAACCATACATGATATCACTTTACCAAAGCCATTCGATTAAACTGTGGTGTTATTGAAAATTTAATCAAAACACAATTGACAACATCGGTTGTTTGTCTAATTCTTTCATGATTTAATTTTATACAACTGTATAGATAAAACAAAATAAAACATTACTTTCTACATTGATTTAAATAAGAAAAACAAACCAAACCAAAACCGGATATTTAAATCAATATTTATCTGATTCCCATGACTAAAAAGGAAATAATTTTCTGCCAAATAATAATTACAACTAAGAGACAACATGGAAACTATTGACGTTTATTTCATCAGTATCATAAGTATTCATAACACTGATAACTAACACTTGAATATATATATATATATATATATATATATATATATATATAAACTAATATACAATAAGCTGATTAAATTATAAGTAGTATATATATGTACCATTCTATTTAATTAAATATTCAACTGTAAATTATAAAAATGAACTGTCAAAAAATTAAACAGATAAAAAAGCCGAAGGATAATAAGTTCCAGCTTACCATTTTGGCATAATCTCCACTCATTCGAAATACATCAATAACCGTATCCAAACAGATATGTAATGATGGGATGGCTTGAGCACTGATAGGGATCAATGCACGAGGATACGTCTAAGTGAAAATAATGAATTTTATTATTATTATTATTATTATTATTATTATTATAGGATTATAATATATAGAGAGAGTCATGCTAGTAGACAAAATTTTAAAGAAACAGAAACCTACTACGTATGCATCATTGGGGTGACACAATGAAGACTTTTGTAGTGTAAAATTTTTAAATATTTCAATGACATCCACCTATTTATTGAAACTGTAAAATAGTGTATATACAATAAACATATATACACGCACAACTGTACAACCGTGATAATCATTAGAAAATCTGCTTTCGTTGAAGTGCTTATGTTTATTTCCTTAAAAAGAAATATAATATAGAGAAGGATGAGTAGATAAGCAAACAGTAATTGATGAAAATAAGTACTACTCATCATCAACATGAACTAGGTTAAAAAAACTGAAGATAATAAAAGCTCATTATTGTTCTGTGCTTGAAGATAGGTGGTAGAAAACCTTGTTTGACGTAGGTGTCGCGTTAGTTGCCATTCATTAGGAAAAAAAGGGTTTGGAATCCTAAGGAAATTGATTCACTTTATCTGGGATTCGAATCCGCGAGTGTTAAAAACAACACGAAAATTCTATCAAGTAGAGTTTACTCTACAGACTGGTTCAAACCATCTTAGCATGGAGCACGCGATGTCACTGTTCTCACATTTTTCAGAGTTGAAATAAACTAGAAACAAGGAGAAAATAAAGGGAAGTAGGAAAGTCATAGGTTTTTTTGACATAAAAATAAAATAAACACTAACTTAGTGTCTACTTTGTGTTCAATTGTTGTATATCATGCGTATCCAATGAAATGTGGGTTTTTGAAGATTTATTGAAAAGTGACTAGATGTAGATGGAGAGAAGGGATTATTGGGTTAGTAAACTATTGAGGTTTATAATTTAAAACGATGTTGTTTATTCAGAGATGGATAGTGGCTAGCAGTGGAATTCAGGACGCACGTTTCGTCCTATTTAGGACTCTCCAGCTGGATGTACCTGCATCGCAGAGTTGATGTCCACTTCGGGACTAGAACCCAATACTGTTCGTTCCAAATGCCATCGCACTATCCACCTAGCTACTGAGTCCAAATAGGACGAAACGTGCGTCCTGGATTCCACTGCTAGCCACTATCCATCTCTGAATAAACAACATCGTCTTAAATTATAAACCTCAATAGTTTACTAACCCAATAATCTCTTCTCTCCATCCATATCTAGTCACTTTTCAATAAATCTTCAAAAAACCCACATTTCATTGGATACGCATGATATACAACAATTGAACACAAAGTAGACACTAAGTTAGTGTTTATTTTATTTTTATGTCAAAAAAACCTATGACTTTCCTACTTCCCTTTATTTTCTCCTTGTTTCTAGTTTATTTCAACTCTGAAAAATGTGAGAACAGTAAGTACATGTGTGTATGTGTGTCTGATATGATACATATTTTTCAGACTTTATTTCGTATTAAAACAACACAGGATATCTTTTTAGTTGTGATATGTAATTAATTTTAAAAAAAAGTCGATTTTCTAAGAAAAAAAAGGCGGCATGAGAACAGATATTACTGGATTTCGTGTACAATTGAAATATCGTAATGGGTAGCCATATTCTTTTAGAATAAAATTTTAGATGATCACCCTAATTCGAGGACATACATAGAAGAAATTCTAAAGTTTTATTAAAGGATGTGTTAGTGGGACTCTATGTCTGATATGACATGGGGTTAGGAAATATAAGCAATAGTATCCAGATACAAGTGCAGTTTCAGTAGACGGAAGACGATAAACTAATGATGTAGCTAGTGATGAAGGGTTAATGACAACAAAATGAAATTGTAGATTCAGAAACGACAGTAGTGACTCAAACAGTCTACTAGTGTGTAAAGGATTATCCTTCCACGGCAGTAGAAATTCTAGTACAATATTTCTTCAAAAATCTAAAAGCAACTAATGACCTCGCTGATTTTTGAGCAAAACAGATAAACCCTGTTAGATCAGTCATAAGCGAAGATGACTGTGCTACATTTAAGATCTAATGTCGTTGTGTTTTTTTCTTACACACAATGACTGAATATATTATATACTTCAAATAATAATGAATACAATGCTGAAGATGGTGATCAGTTGCATTATTTCGATCAACAAACACGATGACAAAGTGGAGAGTCTTCTGATCACTTTAACCAACAATGCTTGGATGTTTGGGATGTGGTTCGCTCTCTTCAAATGTAAAATGTTGCAAAGAGTAAGGACAAAGATTCTAGCAGAATAGCATGGATTCATTTCATTTCGTAGGTTCACATCAGCTGCTTACAACCTGTGATATTTAAAAATCATAATTACATAATGGGTTTAAATTGCTTACTGACTACTGTAAATATATACCTAATGTGAAAGAATATTCTACAACAATAATTGTGACAACAGTTCAAAAGTGGGTTAGAAACAATTGATTACATAATGAATAAACATTGATGGGAATATAGTGAGTAGAGTTCAGTTGAAGGATAGTTGAAAAATAAAATAAAATCAGTGATGCAATGAATACAAAAGAAAAAAATTTTTAAGGTGCAGTGAAGGAATATTTGTCACCAGGGCAAGGAAAGATTAACCACCGTCTCCTTTTGAATACATAGGTCAGGTTTTTGACGCCTGATGGCAATGGCTTCAGCAAACTTCAGAAGACTGGAGTTTGGCTGCTTACTAATCACCCTAAAGGATTGTAAGGTATCTACCTGATGTCCTGTATCAAGGAGATGTTTGGTGATTGCACTGTTCAGAGTCTTTCTTTCCCTTATTCTAAGACTTTTCGGAACATGTTCAAAAAATCTAAGATATGCTCTCCTTTCAGTTCGCCCGATGTAGCTGCTTCGGTAGGTACACGTAAATTTATAAATACAGTTGGCGGTAACATGAAAGGGTTGCTTGTCGATCTTTGATTGGGTTATTGAACATGTTGTTTTATAGAGAGTTAAGAGCTTAGCAGCCGATTAAGTTCTGGCTAGAGCAGTGTTCAGTCTTCTGTTGATTATTTGTGCTATGTTATCACCTTTAAAGTTAAGATTTATATATACTGGCTTCTTATTGACCGTAGTTATTTCCATCTTGTTTTCTTTGGGCTTTTTATATTTGTTAACAAACTTTTGTGGATAAAAGTTGTCTTTTAGACATTTTTCTACGTTCATTATTTCTTCTTCCAGTTTGTCGGTGGTACATATCTTTTCTACCCTGTAAAATAATGTTTTAACCAATGCTTTCTTGTAACTAATTGGACAAAAACTATTGAAATTCAGGTAGAGGCTATTCCAGTTACTTTTTCTATAAACTCAACGTTGAACTGGCAACATCAAGAAAGTGGAACATGTCGTTCTGTTCGTGATCCATAGTGAAATGTATGTTAGTGTGAGCGTTATTGAAAAGTTTTAGCAGGCGGATTGCATGCTGTTTATTGTTACAGATAATAAATGTGTCGTCCACATATCTGGAGTATTCCGTTGTTTCACTAATTGCCTGTTTAAGTACCGTGTTTTGAAGATACCCCATAAAAATATCTGCCATAATTGGACCCAGTGGGCTTCCCATTGCTACGCCATCGATTTGGTGATATATGGTATTATTGAACTGGAATTGAACATCTGTTGTGCACATTAGTAGTAATTTTGTTTCTGAATTCTGGGGCTGGTAAAGGTAGGAGATCATAATTCTGACAAATTATATCAATAGTTTCAAAAAGTGGTATGTTGGTGAACAAGGATGTTACATCAAAAGAGACCATGAACTTGTCGGTAACCGACAACTGATAATAGGAAGTGTAGGGGACGCTAGATCCCCAGAAATCACTTGGTAAACTTTTCATTTTTGCGATATTATTACGGAAATTTGAATTCCTTATTTTCGTTCAAAAAGCGCCTACCTTTTACCTTCGATTTGTGTATCCTATGCAGAATGACCTCAATTGTTATTGTTTCGTTCCCTCTTTAATTAAGCTATTTTGTGACGTTTTTCAGGATCATTTTTAGATTGTATACATATGCATGAGTTGTGTGCTTCTTGTTCGTTCTGATGGGCTGCTTGTAGAATATATATATTTCGCTGCTGAATTTGGTCTTCTCCCTCTAGTTACCAGGACGTGGAGTAATTGGATGCATCTACCGCTATATTTGTCATGGAAGTCTCGTCAGTCCTGATGCATTGATATCTGATGAAATATCGGAACGGATTCAGAAGGCTCAGTTAACGTTCTTCAACTTACGTCACTTGCAGCATATGTGAGGTGTTATAAATCGCTCTTTTCTTCTTACGGTTATGACCCAGCTATTCCTATTGCTTAGTATTCTCGGACACCGATTCACTCGACAAGTCCCCAAATCAGAACACGGTTGAACAGGAAAGAGATTATATTCCAAATAGCAAGTCAGAAGCACAATAGGGAAAACGTCAGTATATTTATAGTTTTTACATAAGAAGATTCCAGAGTATTCTCCAACTATCGACTAGTGCTGATTGGATAAGAATTAGCCAATCAGCGTGCACCAAAGCAATCATGCATTGAGCATGCTTTAATCTAGTCTATGTCCCGCTAACACCTCCCCTTTGAGCAGATTCGTAGGATCTGGTGCTAGGGTCCAACTGCAACCGAGTGACTGGCCTGTGCTTTCGATTAGTCCATCGTCTAGGCAATAGAGAAGTATCACTCTTTTCTTGCACAGAAACTGACGTGTCCATTCCCGGCGTTTTGATTTCAAAGGTGTCTAGCAGAACATCAAGAGGTAATCGATATTGAATCTTGTTGCTGGCTATCGAAGTTGCTTTCAATTGGTTAGCATGACGTACCCAAACTTCCGAGCCAACTGACACCTCGTAAACCACACTCCCCTTCTTTTTCAAGATCCGACCAGCTGTCCATGTAGGATGTTTCCCACGATAGTCCATAGCAAGCACTTTTTGTCCCACCGTGAACAATCGTCTTTGTGCCCCATGATGTCGGTTAAACTGATTCTCCATCGATAGGTTTCGTTGGGGTTCAATAGCTGGCGTAGGACGGATGACATCGGAATGTGTTCGTATCTTTCTTTTCAGTTTTCCTAGTAACCTTTCACCTGTCTTCTTTGGAAGTACTGGGGTGTCCAATGATGAACACGATACGTTACAGACACTGTTAATTGGTACATCCATTATTCCAAGTTTGTCTAACATATCTAGACCAAGAAGATCAAGGTTCGGCCGTTCTGTTAGGTAACATATTCCTGTACAGTTAGTTCCATTGAAGGAAAATTCACACTGTAATTCACCAACCAGTTTTAGCACACCACCTGATGCGTTTTTAGCCGTTTTCTTAGATGGCTTCATTGGCGGTTTACCCAGCAAGTTATACGTTTCTCTAGACACTAACGTGATATCTGATGCCGTGTCAATTTGAAGACGAGCTGATATGCCGTTTATCTGGATGGTAACATATTTTCTCCGAATGTCATAGTTTGTTTGAAAGGCAGCTACCAGAGAAAGAGATTTCGACTCAGCTGATTTCACATGTCGAGGACGTTTATGCTTCTTCTTAGGCTGAGACGTACGCTTCGGTGGACAATGACCTTCTTTATGTCCACGTTTGTTGCACGCCTGACATTTATGCTTCTTGAACGGACAGAATCGTGCATAATGCCAATCACCGCATAACCAGCATGCAGTCCTTGGTTTGTTACGAGTTGTTACCGGCTTCTGAACTTTTAACCTAGTAATAGTATTTACACTACCGCAGGTTAAATTAGGATTTACCTGTTCAATCAACTCGTTGTCGTGTCTGATGCTTTGTAGACGCTTACACTCATCTGTCAATGTTCTGAGTGTGACGTTTGGGTCTTGATCCAGTCGAGCCAAAAGTCTAGTCCTGATTTCAGCATCTTGTGGTGACTGAAGAGCTTTGATGAATATTAAGCATTTAAATTGGTCATCAGTCAACGAGCGTAACTTGAAACGTTCACATTCTCTGTTGACAATGTCTGCTAGAACACCATATTCATCAGCTTCGCGTTTCACCAAATTTAGACACCGATATCGAATACTAAACAACGAGGATGACTCGCCGAATATCTCTGACAACTGAAATACCGTCTCCTCGAAACTGAGCTCTCGAGGTAACTTTGGCAATATATGGTCAGCAAAACGTGCATGTTCGTTGCTTCCCAACTTACGTACCAACAATCGGGTCTTCCACGCATCGTCTTGATTACAGAATTCTGTTCTAAATGTATCTTCCCAACGTCTGAACCACGTGAGAAAAGTATTTCCATTTTCGGGATCATAGATGAATTCTGGGATGCTGCTAGCAACTGCATCACAAGACGAACTTGAAATAGCGTGTGAACTCGAGCTGTGGATGTTGAGCTGTTGAGTCAGAGTCTCCAACAACCGCATTTGTGCATCAAGTTGTGCTTGCTGTTGTTGTAGTATTCGGTTAAGCTGGTCATCTGATATAGGCATCTTGAATTTGTTTTCCTTTTTCCCCGTCGCCACTGTTATAAATCCTCTTTTCTTCTTACGGTTATGACCCAGCTATTCCTATTGCTTAGTATTCTCGGACACCGATTCACTCGACAAGTCCCCAAATCAGAACACGGTTGAACAGGAAAGAGATTATATTCCAAATAGCAAGTCAGAAGCACAATAGGGAAAAACGTCAGTATATTTATAGTTTTTACATAAGAAGATTCCAGAGTATTCTCCAACTATCGACTAGTGCTGATTGGATAAGAATTAGCCAATCAGCGTGCACCAAAGCAATCATGCATTGAGCATGCTTTAATCTAGTCTATGTCCCGCTAACAGTGAGGTATCCTTCTTCTTTACTTTACTGCCCGGCGATTCGCTTCATTCTACCATATGGGTGTGAAACATGGCCATTCAGAACAGAGGATACTCGTTGGTTACTAGTATTCGATCATAAGTGTCTTCGAAGCATTTTGTGTATATTTTGGGACCACGGGGTAAGCAATGTCTGGTTTGGGATTAGAGCATTAGATAAGGATGAAAAACTGACTGATGAGGTAGTAAATCTTCATCAACTGAAATAGTTGGGATATGTGCTACGTATCCCTAGCCACGGCAAACTGGGATAAAGCTAGGGGCGGCCAAACCGAAACATGGCATCAGTCCATGAAGTCATTGACAATTGGACTTAGCCATGTTAGTAGAGGTAAATTATTTGTTTGAGGTTCGCGTGATTATTATAATCAATGGTTAGAGACTTTGAATGACGTGGCTCAAAATAGTTTGCAATGACGTAGGTGCATCCATTCTTTATCTTCCTTCAGGGTCTAAGCTTTGGAATCCCTCATATATCTTTTTGTTTCACTAATTTATATTTCCTTGAATAGTATCTTCGATGCTTATTATTTTATATTACTGACTTTTTGGTCCGTAATGTAGTCTGAGTTTCTTCAGAAATTTCTACCGCATTTCCTTCACGTTATGAGAAGACTACTAAATTAATCCATTCTCTTACTTTATTAATACAAAGTGGTCACATAGGCAGACATAATCAACGCAGAGACTGACAGATATGCACTGGCCCAGGCTACCATAACGCATTCGCACGAGATGAAAATAATGAAGAAGATCGAATTAATGTAGTAGCAACGATGAGGGGAAAGACTAAATTGTGAGAATATGGTTTGAGAAGACATATTGGAGAGATATGTATGAGGGGATACTGGAATTCATACTCGAGAGGAAGATAAAGAGTGATAGCGTTTGTGACATTACGAATGATTTTTGAGCCACATCACCCTAAATAGACACAAAAATCTTTATCATGGTGTGTAAATAGATGCGCATTATTATAGAGATATGTTGACATAATTGAGAGATGAAAGACAACAAAATATTAGGGACAAGTAACAATCAACAAATGTTCACCGTTTATTTGATGATATGGCTCAAGATCCATTGCAATGATACAGATACATTCACTTTCAGTTTTCTTTAAGATCTTGAATTTCTAAAATTATCTTATGTTTCTCTGTTTAACGAATTCCCTATGAATTGTAGCATCAAATCATCCATGTTTAATCTTTTCTGTTAAAACTGATACTGTTGCTACATTTACTACTCCGACACTGTCTTGATAGTTTTTTTCTCGCTGTGGTGATATAGTGTAGCAACTTGAACCGATAAACATATTTCACTGAGTCACATCCCATTAGCACAGAGGTAGTAACAGTGTTAGTGGTAACAGAAAAGATTAGACGTTGGAGATACTGGCACATACATGCCAGAAGATTCTAACAATTTAATTTGTTATAGGGTCGTTTATCAACTACGATATCAACAAAATCCGATAATAAACAATAGATATTCATCAAAATGGCTGATCAATAAATTTCCCTGTATGGATTTAACCTATTTAGAATTATGATATTCAACTCCTTTGAGTGTATAGAAAAGGGATTACAAATGTACACTTTAATAAAGAATCAAACGTCTTTTAGGTGTATCAAATTTATAAATAAGGTTTCGATCAATTCCCATAGTATATGATAAATTATCTATGAATATTACCTGGAACAAATGAAATCATACAGTGAATAAGACAAATGCCAAAATCATTTCAATAAGAAAAAGATTTATTGATACACTTTTTTTTCATCCGAATTGGCGGCCTGCTTGAATATCTGGGCTACCTGTTCCTCCGATCTAGATATTTCATCAAGTTATCTGTTTTTTGTTTGTTTTAGCACATCATTATGTCTATTGTGCTCACAATCTATTCAGGCGCGTTTATGAAAAGTTTACAACCTTTCGCTATACGGGATACAGAACGGTACAATCAACGACATTATGGTGGCTGGCAATATGCATTGAAACGAATGAACATTAATCAAATGTGGATTACCGAACTCCTAACATCTAACTCGTCATCATTCAAAATTTATCGCCACAATCGATCAAGATATAAGAAAAGGAAACTTGTTGAAATACTTTATGCTGAGAATTCTATGTTGTACCAAAAACATGTTGAATAAAGCTTCTAATAATAATAATAATTAATAATAATGATAATAATAATAATAATAATGTACGCACACATATACACGCACATACATGTGTATGTATAAACAAGTCTTTGAAAAAAATAAACCCCACTCACTTGCCAAACAATAATCTCTGCAAGTACAGGTTGAGCAATGAATAATGAATGTATAAATGTACAAATTGTAATACGTATTTCACGAAGAATACTAATTTCTGATTCAAGTTTCTAAATAATAAAAGAAAGGGTAGTAAGAAAAATAGACAAGTAAATATACTGTAAATCAGAATAACAAATAAACAATTATAAGTATTCAACTTATTTATTATTTATTTAAACACATAAAGATTAGCACAAGGAGACACCAAACATATAATCCTCCGTGTCCACCAAGCCGGTTAAAGCGGAAGACATTCGTTTTTTGTCCTCTCAATTTCGTAGAGAACACCGCCTCGAGAAGACAGTGAGTAGGACTTCTCGGGTAGTGGTTGTATATGCATGGCCATGTGAGAACACTTAATGACTATACTGTACAACACCAATGCGTATATATATATATATATATATATATATATATATATATATATATATATATATATATATATAGATGAGAGTTGCTGGTGCACACTTTATAATGATAGCCTAGTAAAATATAGAAACGTAATACAAATAAGTCATTGATCTATATTTGCTGTGTTTCTGATTGGCTAAAACGGATCAACAGACTAACGTCATTCGAAAGTATAGTTGAGCATTATTCCAAGTATCAATTAAGTGACTTCTTAAAACACAATATAGACAAGAAATGAGTAGCTTATTATTATTATTTTTATAACGCTGACAGAATAATTTAATTTGAAAATATCCTATTAATAGTACTACTACTTCTATTAGTTAACCATATTATTGAGCAAAGAATATAAATTGTTTAAAAATGTTGGTGGAGTTTCATTTTCTGAGCTGGATGGTATGATCATGGAACTTCGGTTGCTCTTCTGAACGATATCACCATTACAAGCTTCAGGTAGAAATGCAGTATTCGAATTTCTTCATATATGATAAACAACTTTTCCTGTTGACCTCAATCTTAAATGGTTATTGTAGATCTTTAATCTTTCATTGTTTGCATCTTTATTTTGATTATCTTTCTAGTCTGATTCCTAGACCTACAGCATTCCATGATTTTTCTGATTGTTTGATAAGTTGGATTGATTTCGATGTGTTTGTTAATTTACTCGAGTATCAAGCATCTAAAAATTCTCGTGTTCTTAGCATTTGCTCAACCTAAGATATTAATACTTTCCTAGTTGAGTGTGCATCCACAGCTCTCCACATAGATTTATCATGATGTTTGACTACTAGTTGATGTTCATTCAGACGAAGATGAAAGGGTTGTCCACTTTGTTCGATGTAGTGTTCCTTGTAATTGGAACAGTTCCATTTTGTAGATGATGCTTAGTTTTTCAACTTTTGTCATTGTATCCTTTGTTTTGCATAAGATCAACTGTGAAGTAATTATGGTAGTTTATGCGCTACAGCCATTTTCAAACAACTTCAATAACCGTTTCCTTTTATAATTTCTTAAATGTCTTTTACATATGCTAGGATGATCTGTTTGTTGGCTTCGTTATTTGACTTCATTTTCGCTGATGAGTTGGAATGATATTTTATTTTTGATAACGATCTGTAACACAATAGTTGATTATAACATAGTTTATTTAGACCTCTTTTTTAATAAACAGTTAAATGGTATTTAAAATTGATTGATCACTGGGTAGTAATCAATGTTATATATGTCAGGTTAGTGGGTATCTCATGAAATACTATACCGATCTGTGCCTAATGTATTTTTCTTTGTTAGAATGTAAACCTGTCCATTGGTAAAAAAAATCATATTATACAGTCAACGTTATCAATGTGCTGGACCGTTATTGTACATATATATCTTATTATTGTCCCAATTTATTTGATTAAATTAGTCCACAAGAAGAGTTCAACAATATCTATAAGTACCAACTGCTAGCAGTTATCAACGTATATATGAAAACTGTCAATTGTTATTACATAAAAAACAAACAAACAAAATGAAAACAAAAAACATAACAGAATAAAGAAATAATCCATTGAACATTGATTACCTTTTCATCTTCTGTTGGTAAACAATATTCTAGCAATAACTGAATAATAGTTGAATCTTGTGTTAATAACATGTTTGTACATAAACGTTCACATTCTTCATTATTAATTGGTACTACTGATTGAGGAGAAATATTTGTATTAGATTCATTGAATATTTGTGCAGAAGATAATGTATTAGAAGTAGAAACAGTTGTATTTACTGATGTAGACGTAGGAGAAGTAGTTATTGATGATGTTGTTAGGGCGACGGTAGATATGCTGTTAACCTGTTGTTGTTGTTGTTGTTGGCCAGAATCAGTAGTAATTAATTTGGAAGAACCAATAAATTTCGGATAGTTTGTGGTTGAACTAGATGTATCTTGATTTAACAAATCAGCATTAGTACTAGGAATAGGAGAACCAGATAATGGTGTTCCACCATTTGTTGAAGAAAGCATCATCATTGTTGCTGGCATAGACGTTGTTGATTGGGTATTATATACCGTTGAATTTGTGTTTGTTCCACGTATAGATTGAACTCTGTCAACAAGTCTATGTGCCCAATATGATCTGGATGCTAATAAACTTGATTCCAATATACGTAGAAATAAACGAAGAAGTGACGGACATCTTGAAAAGAAAAAAATTAAAGAAAAAGACATACAAACAGAACGATAAAACAGATCAGAATCCGTTCAACTTATTTAGCCAACATTGATAACAACTCACTGTAAATAATCTGACAGTAAGATACAGGATGAAAGTTTTATTCTATTTGGGACTCATCAGTTGAACGTATTTGCTCAAGATAGTGGTTATCTGAACTTCGTTCAGTGTTCGACGTCAGCATAGAGTGTTTTAAACTTTCAACCTTAAGAACTCAGATACAGAGTACACAGTATTCTGATAAATAGTAAATGACTTCTCAGTCAAATGTTGTACACTGGTTTGACCTCATTATTTAGATTTCCGATATTTAAGCTCATTTCATACAACATTACAAACATAGACAGGCATTTCGTCCTGTCGGATTTACTTTCATTTCAGTATTAGTTTCGACGTCGGAAATCACTGGCCTTCGAATATCTGTTTGAACATCAATAGTGGGATGAAGATACTACACCCAATTAACGAGTCCCCAATCGAACAAAACAACCATCTTGACTCCACGGTGAGTCATTTTCCAACTATATGACCTTCTTTACAACCGGGTTCACCACTGGGCACCTTCTTGCCTGATTATTTCATGACCAATCTGGAAAGTACGGTACCTCAACCAATCATTGAGAGATTTCGTTTATACAAGTCATATATGGATGATACTTTCATTATTTGTGAATAAGGCATGAACCTCAATGAAATTTTGAATAGTTTCAATAATTGTCACCCCTCAATTCAATTCACTTTGGAAGCAGAGGCAAACAACGAATTTCATTTTCATGATTTCCGACTGGAAATAAGGCTGGATGGTTTTTTACAGGAGTATATATATAGGAAGCCAACCTGGAATTGGCAGTGCACGAATTTCCATAGTTGGGTCCCACCGAGTAGAAAGAGGAACTTAATTCACTCTTTATCCTCAAGGATCAGGCGAATATGTTCTACTGACACAATAGATGAGGAACAACTTCAATTTCAAGAAACTCTCATTAGGAATGGTTACCCATCTAGATTCTTCGATAGCGACTTAACAGCTAGACATCATGAAAAATCACCGACAGTACAAAAGAAAACCCTTTTTATGAATATGGAATTTAAAGAAGACACGGCTGCTGAAAATCCTGAATAAACGGATCTGAAAATCCCTGAATAAAACGTTCTATTCAGCTAAGCTCCGTATTGTTTTCTCAAGCCGACCTACTATTCATGAATGTGTTAAGGATATACTTCCGCTTTGGGCCACACCAATGTGCATCTATAAATTTACTTGCTCCTGTGGGGCAAGTTACATTGGTCGCACAAAGCGATCACTTTCCAAGCGCTCCGAAGGAGTCTTCTTTTAAAACATTCTACTTAATCAAAGGAACTGCATAGAAGGGAGGTCGAATCAAAAACCTGTGCACTTCTGAAGTATTGGAGATCCACCAATTCAAGCTCGAACTTCCTTCCTTGGCCCTAATTCTCCTTTGTGGTATGTTTTGGTGTGATTTTTCAAATTAGTGTTTTGTAGTTTTAAACTGTGATCAGTTATTATTATCCTTTAATAATTTTTCAAAATATTATTCAGTTATTATTATGAATTTTGCGTTTTTTGTCTTTCTTCATATCTGTCAAGTGGACGACTATCTTTCCTTATTCTGACCCGTAAATTATTTCCATCGTCCTATTCTTCTCTTATCCCTTGATTATTGCGTAGTCACATTTGATAATTGAAGTCTCGAATCAATTCATTATGCAATCTTTTCTATTCTTCTATAGAAATATATTTACCAAACGACTAAAAATTTTTGTTTTACTCATTATAGAATTTTAAATAGATTTTTTCGTTTTCCAATTTGCTTCTTTTTGTTACACGCAATAAATGACTATATTAGATTCTTCAAGCACTAATGAATACAATAATTATGATGATAATCAGTTGCATAATTATGATAATGGTGCTTAATAAATTCACTTATCTATCGTCATTTAATATCTGATCATATTGAGAGAAATAAACGTATGATTGTATATTGAATATGATTATCATTTCTTATCTATTTTCAAGCATTAATAAACAGAAGGCTACATCATAGCGTTTAAATTGAATGGTGAATACCCTTTACAGTTTCATAGGGTGGTGTGATGAGTGTTTTTTTCTACATCGTTTCATTTCATCATGATGCTTTTATTATTTTTCTAAACATTACCATCACTACAAACTTTTTATAGAGAGCTTCTGTTTGAACTGCTAGACAAACAGCTTACAATGTACACACTTGATCTAATAACTAGTGTCAGTCAAACAATATCAAGTACACAGAACTGAAATATTGAAAATGTATAAGAGTTAGACATGTAAACCACTAAATACCAGCTGAGTGATCTAAACGTTAAACGTTTATCACGAGACCTGAACGTTTTGTGTCCGATTCCTAGTGAAGTATGTGTATACACAGCGTTAAGGAGCTACATACTAGAACAAAACAACTCTCTAGTACTTTTCAGTTCTCAAGGTCTATCTAACTTAGATTAGTCCATGATCAAAACTAGAAAAAGGATTTAAACCGTTTTATACATGAAACATGAATCCACAAAAACATTTTAGATAAAATAATCAGTCAATTTTAGTCTAATCTACAGAACAGCGTATACATGATAATAAATGAGATTAGTTAGTTTCTATTTAAAGATTTTAAAACCTATCTAATGGGACTGCTTATATACATATAAGCGAAAAAAGAATTGATTACTTGATTACGGAAAACTTGTGGTCATAATCCATTTAAATTGAAAAGAAATCAAACCATTAGAACAAATACTGTTGTCGTGAAGAATGAGTATTTAAAGACTCCATAAGATCGCTATGGATTACTGGATCATTGTTTCATTTAAACAATAAAAACACGAGTTATTCCATAATGTAAAATAAATCTCATGTGAAATAGTATTCTTATTCTTCCCGGAACTCCCGCCAACGACCTCGGAGACGTCGTATTTTTATTAGTTCACATTTAATTTTAATTATGGAAGGTGAGAAATTGATGAATTGAGTTCATGTTTACTTGATAAATTTAATCAAGCAATTCATTGATGATAAAATGGATATACAACATTAGTATTTTTAAAAGACAAAATTTATATTGATTCAGACGAGATAGAATACAGATTCAACCATTGGAAATTTAAAACGCCCAGTCATACTAAGCTGTAGCATTATTAAAACATGAGATTGTTGAATATAGATTTCAATAAAGAAGACTATGTACAAGTTCTTATGTTTACTTAACTAAACAGACAAATTTACCATTTCATTGAAATCATAAACCGGTCTGAGTTAGATCACCATTTAATACCTGGAAGCACTGGACAGCCGTTCTGTTCTAGTATAAAACTTATCAGTAGTGCGAATTCATGATCCTGCATGAGACTCGAACTAGGGACCTTCATTTCGACGTACGAACGCCTAACTTCTAGACAACTGAGCCATCATCTTATAGTGTTAGTATCTAACTTCAATGAATTCATAACATTCAGATGATATCGTCCATTGTTTTCGGTGGGTAACTGTCTCACATCTGACACGGTTTAGCTACACTGATCACTGTTGTTTTCCAGATTAATCATGAAAGAGCTGAACGACGCCAAGAGCATCCATTTAAGTGACAAATAGCTTTACAAACTGTTATTGCATCTGAAACGACTATTATAAAGTAAGTACCGCTTAGTAATATCAAACAAGTTGAGAACTGGGTAAATTGTTAATAGTAATAAACTAATAAAACATTTTCAAATTTTAAGTCACGAGTCGAAATTAGCTAAACAACCACTGAAAGTCTGGGAGCGTACGAGATAAAAGACCTTGGCTTAGAACCTAGCTCGTGTATACGCACTGCTGAAGAGTCCTATGTTATGATGAAACATATATTCAATCCTTTCAGGATTTCAACGGTTTTCGGATTTGGATCAATTCGTGGTCTTAATATGAAAAACAATAACAAGGCTAATTGAACAGATTGTAGAAAGAAACTACGCCACTCTCCATCCAAAAAAAGACGCACACCTATCTTGATTATGATTATTAATACTTTGTTTTATTTTATTCCACTAAAATCAAGTTTCAAGAAAACATTAGTTTTAAAAGTTCGAAAACGGTGTACAAAAAGCCACCTGATTCTGTTTCTCCCCTCCCCTCCCCAGAACGCCACTATTTTCTTAAACATTAAAAAACAACAAGCAATGTATGTGTGTTAATGCGCATAACACACATTTGTTTTTCTTTTACAGATCTCTATTAAATTTTTGTATCTACCAATCAAAAACTAGAGCCAATCAGTTGTTTTAACTAAAAAAACACATCGTCTAACCTTTTTTTAAAATTTTTTTTTATTATTTTAACCGACTGTTTCCCAATTGTAATATCCAACAGAAATGACATCTAGGCTAGTGTGTATGCGTTTTTCTTTTTCAAAAATAAATTTGTGTCCATGTATGTTTGTGTGTCAATATCCACAGATAGAATATATAAATATGAATATACATAAGGATCATGACTGTGATTGAAACATCAGCAAAGAATGTTGTCATTTAAAGAGAATTTAAACAAATACTCATATATGAATGGATTATTACAATAATTTTAGAAATTGGACAAATTCTATTAAAATAAATTTCCTATGCTAAAAGACGTAGTTACAGATGAATTCAACTATTTCTTTAAAATTATACATGCTACATAATGTGATATAATGATTATATGTATTTTGGATAGTGATAACTTGATTGATTCTAGAAAACATTTATAATCATTGCAATATTTACACACACAAACACAAACATAAAACGAATGAATAATTCAACTACAATTTGTCATTTTACAAATCCTTATCAATCTGGTATAGCTGGTATACTTATCACACATGTAAGTATTTCATTAGCTATATTAGGCATTCCAGCTAATCTACTTACATTGATTGTATTAAAACGTGATT